AAGTTTATTAGCACTTAGTGCTGTGGTCTAATTGACAAGGGGGTGACCGGTCAAAGGTTGGACTTGATGATCTTGGAGGTCTTTTCCAATATAAATGATTCTGTGATACCAGGAGGGTGGTGAGGCACTGGACAGGTTGCCCAGAGAAGCTGTTGATGCCCTGTCCCTGGAAGTGTTCAAGGCCAGGTTGGATGGGGCTCTGAGTAACCTGGTCTAGTGGAAAGCGTGCCCTGCCCGTGGCGGGGAGGGGTTGGAACAGGGTGATCTTTAAGGATCCCTTCCAACCCAAACCATCCTACGATACTATGCAACAGAGCCCGCGAGTGCAGGACGAGAACCCGGGCACAAAGACAGGGCAAGAGAACCGGGAATAGGATGGGACGTGAGCAGGGATGCGCCTGGAGCCCGTCCCGGGCCGCTCCCGGCGGGCGGCGGGCGCCATCCAGCGGGGACACGGGGAATTGCCCGCCGGGGGGGGGGGTTGGGGGGTCCCGAGTCGTTCCTGGGGTGGGAAGCCCGGCGGGATGCTGGTCCGAGCGCTCCGACAGAGCACATTTGTTCTCCACCTGCTCTTCCGCAAAGCGCAAGGGGCGTATCTGCTTCATCAGCCGCCGTGGCATCGCTTAGTAGAAGTCGAAAAGAAGTTTCTCAAAGCCTTTCCCCTGCTTTCTCAAGCGCCCAAGTTCCAGCTTCAGGAAGAGTATCAGGCTCGGTGGTACATATATTACTACATCTGTATTTCCATATTTCTAGTATATTTACCTTGACTGAGGGTATGTTTATCTTCATAAAATTAAAACAAATAGGTATTATAGTCTCCCACTTACTCAAGGGCAAATTACAGGAAGGAATGCACAACCAAAATGCTACCACCAGCTCTCCCAGCCTTTTTGCATTCACTGCTACAGATCCTCCATGAGCCTGGCAAGGTATTCCATGTCAGATTTCTCTTGAGCATGAAGGTACAAAAGAGGTACAAATAAGGTTTTTCTGTTAATGCTTGCTCCCCTGTCATTTATTTGAAGAGGTCTTTCGGGTTGACATCAGTCAATTCTTGAATTTGCAAGTCCAAAACCTAGATACCCAAAGGGTTCTCATTTTCAGACTGCAAAGGATTTTCTGTGGAAAAAGATCCTGAGTGATTTGGATAAACCTCAAATTAAATCATGTTGAGTCACCAAGGGGGCACAGCTTCAGTTTAATCACAGAATTTGATGGGTAACTCTGGTTGCAGAAGGTTGGTCTAAAAATAGGGGGGTGTGTGCCTTCCTCTCAGTGTCACTCTCGATTTTGAAGGCTCATCCTGAGAATGTATTTTCCACTGGAATGTTGTGGCTTATAGGAGAGCATACACAGTTCCCTGTGATAAGCACACAGGACTCAAAGGGAAAAAAAAAACACATCCTTTTCTCAGAAGAATAGACTGAACAGGGCACACAGAGGAGCTGGTGTGGTTGTGACAGAGGAGGGTGAAGGCGGAGCTTGATGAAGGCTGTCAGTGACTGGAGTTTACACAGACCAAGCACTGAAAACCAGTCAGTGAGGAGATGCTCATTGGAAAGGTAGTCTCTGTATTCCAACTCCACTTCCACCAGTGCAAAGCAAGGTTCTGAGATACTGAAGTGCAGCAAGGACTCCATAAATCCTTCCTATTTGGTCCTGCATATTAAGTAAGGGATAGAGAAAAGGGAAAGGTTGGGAGATGGCAAGGATGGAGAAGAAAAACCTGCTGGTTGTCTCACTACTTTGGGATTAGATCTGTGGAAAAACTCGTATATTTACAAGTCTAGAGTAGGCTGCAGAGATCCTCAGGTTTTCTGCGCATAACATGTTGTTAATTCCCATTTTATTTTAGTAAGATTCTTAAGACTTTTTAAAAAATTATTATTATTATTTTGTTGCTCATTTCCCAGCTGCCCTTCAGCTCCCTGCAGAAGCTCTCCTTAGGACAGAGTCTGAAGATCTTGCTTAATCAAGGACTTCCAAATGCAGTTAGAACATACTAGAAAGGAACTTGGGCTGGAGCTCAGACAAGAGGAGGGGGAGGGATAATCCACAATCACTCCCGACACACAGGGGAGACCCGACATCTCAAAGTGCTGGCTGCAGCGTTCCCTGAGACATAAATCAGGCCACTCATGAAGGGGCTGCTCTGCCAATATACATAGAGAGAAATACTAGACGGAAAGAGGCAAATCTGCATTAGATCCATCTCTAGCACAGCAGAAATCCTTTACGCCACTTAGATGAGAGAAACTGATGTTTGCAAACCACAGAAGGTTTGGCAAGGGTAAAATTGTACATGCTAATGAGCCCCCAAAGAATTTTGACCTGTGAAGGATATTTAACTACTGAGAAAGATTTATATCCAATAATACACAAAAATGGAAGTGAGCACCGAGCACGGGGAATTAGAAACACACTACAAACATCCTCCTGCTCACATCAGTCAGTACTGAGAAATAATTCAAGAAAATACCAGAAACACTTTTTAATATGTAAGCAGTGAGAAATTAAGAAACCTTAGCCTGAAAAAGTGCTTGGTATGGTCTGTCACTGTCTGTGTTCAGTATTTAAAAGCCTTATTGCTACAAAACACTGTACCAGGTCCTTGCACAGGGAGACTCTGCTCTGGAGAACTTCTTGTCTGCCCAGTCACTATCAAGGAGGTTTTATGTTACTGTGGCACAAGAGTCAAGTGATGTATTATTGATGGGCCAGGCATTAACCGAACCCAGATTTCTCAAGCCTCAGGTCAACGAAACAACTGCAAGACTATTCATCTCTCCACACTACCAGGCAGATGTGTTCACCCTTTAAATGACATTTCACCAAAAGAGCTTGCAATAAAACTTCTATATTAATTCTTTTCAGAACCATGACTTCATGAAGTCAGACATTTTCCCAACCAGCTTTCTGCCCAGCCTCACATAAGAGAAGATTCCACCCAGTGAGGTCACAGCAGTACCTCCATTATCTACTGTTAGTGCAGGCAGTTGTCATTCCCTCTGCATATGTTTGCAGACAATGCACAAATTCACATCTGTAATAAAGAGATTATCCCCATCACAAGGGAAGCATAAAAAAACCCCCTCTTTTATTCCTGAGACTGATCAAACACTGGCACAGGTGGTGCAGAGATCCACCCAAAGAGGTTGCAGAGAGGTGATGGAGTCTCCATCCTTAGAGGGACTCAAAACCTGATGGGACACGGCCCTTGGAAACCAGCTCTGAACAGGCAGCCGGACTACATGACCTCTGGAGGTCCCTTCCAGCCTTACCTTCTCCAGGATTCAAATCTGGCTTGTGCCTACACACCAACCAGATTGGCCAGGCACCCTGTGTGGTCACGGGTACCGCTGTTTCGGTTCCCTCCTACATCAAGGCAAGAAAGTCCAAAAAACGACCAATTTTTCCTTTAGACTGTAAAAATAATTAGACATAATTGCTATAACGGTGTAATAAAGATTCAGAAAAAGAGTGTAATTTCTCTGATATAACCAATATATCTCAGTAAAGATAAGTCTCGATTCAGAAAGTCTATTTCTTGAGAATTCAGGATGTTGGTAAATATGATCAAGGGCACTTGCCACCATCCACATCTAATTCACAAATGCAGACTCCAGTTTCTCTGCTACTCAGTTTGACCACACTTGCACAACACTCCTGTTCACTCTAAATAAGTCTGTCATTAAAGGAAATTCTCAAAGCAAAAGCCATTTTCCAAGCCTTTTATTTGACATTTGGTTTTAAGCAAAAGAAAGAAAAATCTGCAACCCCACCTAGCTTATTTATTGCTATTTTAAAAGCATGTCAAGGCAGGAGGTTGTTTTCAACCACCTGCTGAAAACACTTAGACATGAGAAAGCAGATTCAACATTTTCGTGTTCCCAAATCCTGTTTGAAAGGAGCCAGGAGACTCCTTTTATCAACACAGCTCCAAGAACCAGGACCTTCCCATCGTTTGGGGGAGGATCTTCTGCTACACATTTCTCTAAGTGCCAATCACAGCTGGGCCAAGGCGAGCGCTGAAGCTTCCAAAATAGCAGCAATACCAGTTGTTCGAGATAGCTCAGTCATTTCCAAGGGACCAGCCATGCACAGGACACCTTTTTGGCTCAGCCAAAAAGGACGCCTTTCAGGCTGCCAAGGCATCAGGTGGTGAGTTAAGCATTAACAGCTTTTTTAAAGCATAGTTGGAAATACTCAAGACTTGGCCTGAAGATGTGTCAGGAGAGGTTTAGGTCAGTATTAGAAAGAGTTCTACACCCAGAGGGTGGTTGGGCACTGGAACAGGCTGCCCAGGGCAGCACCAAGCCTGACAGAGCTCATCCAAGCTGTTTGGATGATACTCACTGGCACGTGGTGTGACTCTTGGGGATGGTCCTGTGCAGGGCTGGGAGTTGGACTTGATGATCCTTGTGGGTCCCTTCCAACTCAGCATATTCCACGATTCTGTGACTTAAAAGTCTGCTCTATGCTTTGTGGAGAATGTTAGGATTACAGAGGAACACATATAATTATCCAAAATCAGGAGAGAGGGGCATGGCCTGGCATAAAGTAAACTCTGGAACCATTTCAGGTATGTTTTCTCCCTAACTTGGACAAAGATTGAGAAAGGATCCTTCCTAAGGCTATTTCTGTTTGGACTAGATCTTAATCTTTCCAATAGTTCTGTAAAGAGTAAGCTGCTCCCCCCTTTCCCCACCTAAAATACAGTAGATTGAAAGAATGGTTTAGCACAATTCACTACAGCAGACAAGCAGCCCCACATTTGTCAAGACAATTTCTTCAAGAACAACCAGTCCACCAAACCCCACATAACCCAACAGCACCCACCCTTGTTAAAAGTTTTGTCCTTCACTTTCCCTCTTCTACCCCAAACATTTCAGCTGTAACATTCAGCTCATCAGCACCCAGCTCCGTGCCTGGCATCTCACCTGAACAGCAATAAATTAACATTAAATAATCTAAAGCAGCAGAGAAAGAATGGAGAGATGAGGTTTCAAAATGATACTTTTATTTTAACTAAACAAAGGACACAAGCTCCAATTAACATAAAAATTTTATACTGCGTTATGGCAAACACAGGACCAGTATGCTCAGAGCACAGACAAATGATTTTCAACTTAAATTTGTAAAACGGGCTGAAAGTCATCAACTGAAAAGCAAAACTCAGAATACATACAAAGGACAGAATATGGGATTATTCTTTTAATTAAATATACCCAATTTTTTTTTATATTAACAATTTAAAAGTATTTAAATACATGCTGAAGTAGCTAAAGTTTATATGATCCGCACAGTATGCAGATATAAAGTTACAAGAAGTATTTTGGAGTTGTATAAAAAACGTAACTTTTCCCCCCAGACAAAGCCTATGTAAGTGTAAGGTACTATCCTGGCAAGAGACTATTCTCTGCCTGCATGCAGTCCTGCTGAAAACCTCCTACTGAGTCAGCTCTCTGGTACTTAACTTGCAGGCAGGTTTACTCTCACAGCATGCAGTCAGTGATGAAAATCTCTGTAAAAACCATCTTTTGAGTTATGATGAAACGGAAACAAGTTTTTCAATAAAACAGGTCGTATAACCCACTTGTTTTGAAGGGGAAGAAGAAATTGCACCCTACTCTGCTTCTTTTCCCTGTTGCTAAATGGATTTTTAAAAAAGCTTTTTTTGTGTTTTACATTCCCCCCCCCCCAATAGTTCATAGTCAAAATTATCTTATTTGAATCTGTAAGAATCGCAACAATGGTCTTACCAATTATCTAACTCTGAGCTCAGAGGCTTTGCCTGTGTAAGTCATAGTCACCAAAATTTCACACATCCTTTAATTACTTTAAGAAATATTTACACCTCCTGATTAAATATTCATTCAGGAATAAGTTCTGACCAGTTACTGTACACTCGCAAGTCATCCTTTCTCTGAAAGTACTGCAGCTCCTGGTTTTTTGGTCAACACAAAAGACAACCAAGCACGTTATCCAAAGCTCATCCTCAAGCCACTGATCCGCTGGAGTTGTCTGCTTTGCCGGGACAGAGCTGCTTGGGAAGGTTCACAACCGGGCAAAAGTGGATCATCGAGGGCTTCCTAATCCTGTAAAGCTTTCAGAAAATGTGCTGTTCAAGTCCAGCTGTCATGGGTTTGCCTACTTTCAACAACGTAAGGAAGATATAACCCGTGAAAATCCTTTGCTATGCTTGATGCATCCATTAAATGCTTTTGATGACAGCAGAAAAACTGGCATTTGTGATTTGACATTTCAATGAATTTTATGTAACCTGTGGAGATTTCACAATACGCCAAATTTCAAACAAGTCCAAGAGCTAAAAATGTTCATTAAATGTATGACAATTATTTTAATCAGCATGTTCTTCATAAAAAAAAAAAAAATCAGCTATTTTTGGCTCCCTTCTTATTTAATCCACAGAAAATTTAAGTGAACAGTAAATGCAGAACAGCATCTGTCCTAAACTCCCAAATACTACAATCTGCTAATTTACTGTGAGGACAGTTAAAGCTCTGTAAAACTCTAATCAATAAACCTTTGAAAACGGCTTTTTCTGCTACATCCCTGTTTTATATCTGCATGCATTCAAGTGCATACAATTCTTAGGTTTTTATATTCCATGAAAGGTAGCAGGCAATTTTAAAATATCTTCTCCGTGTTTCAGGAATGTCAAGTAATATTGTCGTACATTGCTTTCAAACTGAAAGTATGCAACAGCAAAATTTCGCATACTTCAAAGCCCACTCATTCTGACCGTAAATTGCACAATGTTAAATTAGTTTCAAGATTGTACTTTTGTGAAATGAGTTTCACTCTTTCAGTTTCTTCCAAGTGTTGGCCTGAAAAGAGCACCTAGTGAAGTCTGATCTTCAAAAATCTACAAAGTGACTTCCGTGCTGGAATCTCCAAGTTAACCCCGATTTATGAGGAAGAGAACAGCCCCCTTGTTCAGGGATACACGAGCCACAAAGATTGTACTGATGTGAAATTTCAGCTTCGTCACAGCAATTTCACACTTCAGATGCAGTTACAGTAATTCTCAGGAGGACCTTGCTGTGAGCAGCTTTCTTTGCAAACTGTACAGAATAGGAACTCAATAGTTGAACAAGACACTGACTCTTTTTCTAGAATTGTACATCTCACTGTACATATTGCTTTGGAAACAACTAAATACAATGGTCCGTCATGCAAGCCATGAGACTGTCAAAACTTCTCTTGTTCCACTAACTTCAAATAAGTTTGTACAAATAACTTAGCCAATCTGCATAAATACTGCACATGGAATTATGCTGAAAGACGCTTGGGAGTCAACATTTTCTACGAAAATATGCAACTATGACTAAAAGCATTAAATACTAACTGCCCACCTTACTATCACCGTGTACAGCGCCATTGTAAGATGTGCTCTCTATAGTGTACACAAAATCAAGACTGTTCATACATTTTAAAATACTGGGTGCAAAATAAAAATAGAATAAAAAAACCAAACCACAACCCTGCTGGTTCAAGCGGCACGATGTGTATTTTATAGAAGATTTTAAGAAAAGTGGAAAATTTAGGCTACCAAAAATTATGGGACATCCCAGAGTTAGTATTTTAGTTTTAAAACTTTAAAATTTACTACTATGAAGGAACATTAATGAGCAAAACTTGACCTACTGCCAGTATTTAGTCACACAGTTAAAGACAGTGACTATAAGCAATTAATTAGAAAACCAATTATGTAATTAAAGCACTGGCAACACCAGACAAGACTTGTTGACTGCACAGCAAGGAAAGCCATGAGATGAACATATTTAGGTACTCTGACTACAGCTGGTTAATGACTTTATACCTGAGATGAAAATTGAGAGGTAAGAGAACTAGTTATGGTGTAAATAATTCTCAAATGAAAACCAAGCGTGCAGAGGTAACTGCATTTTAAAAAAATATATGCAAGATCACAACTGACATTTCCCTCTTATGATTATTTTCACTCTGCTATTCAGAAAAACACTTTAACTCACTTTACCATGTGATAGATTGTGTTCTGAAGCTGTTTTAAAGGCTCCTGTGATTCCAATGCTTTAACAATTCATGGATTTTTGAGTAGAAGCAGCACACTCTACTCCCTAGTCTTAAGAAATTTAAGGCACCCATAAGTAGCAAACTTCATGCCATGTTTTCATTCTAGGGAAAAATCTGATTTTTCCCTTCAACAGAAAAAAATAATAACCATGAATTCATAAAAGTGATCAGAATGCCACATTCTCTGTCAGTGAGGCAACAGTTTAGTGATATTTAGCTTAAAAAAGCCACTGTCTACAGAGCTACTACTGAAGCCACAGAATCTTCACTAACAGGTTACAAAATATGTAATATTGTGACAGAACAGAAAGTTTGTTTTAATTTCTGAAAAAGCTAAAAGGTAGAAGCAGAGCAAGGTTGGGCCCCAAGGAACAATGAAAGAAAATAAATGGGAAACATTTTTCCATGATACATACACTTAATTTATACAGCAAACTTCCAAGTTTAATGGATCACTGTACCACAACAATGAGTGCAAATACATGTTTCTGTGGGCAGGAGCACTGCTAAAAAAGCATATTTTGTTTTCATCAGTATGGAATGAGAGTAAATCACTTCTCTGATGAACGGAAATTTCATTCCATATGTCAGAAAACGCATCTACGATTTATTACCAGAATCAGCTCAAAACACTTCCCATAATCACAAAGCTCAAGTAATATGTAGCCATTAGACACAAAGATATACAAGATTTTGGTTACAAGTGCATTAGCTTCAGATTCTGAAGCTTAATTCTTTGCTTCTGCAGCTTCTTTGTCGTGTTTTTCCTTTGCTTTCTCTTTTTCTTCCAGTTTTTCTTCTTTTTGAAGCAGTGACATAATCTCAGCAACCTGACTAGTGCCAATATCAATATCTTCTTTGTCAATCAATTCTACTACCTGGATGAACATAAAATGAAATTGAGAGAGCATTTAGTTTTTACATGATTTAGGCATTTTCCTATAATAAAATGTTAAGACAACAAAAGTATTCAGTTCTCATGTTCAAGAAAAACAGGATTTCTTTTCTTATATGAAAGACAAATTCAAATCACAACCAGTACCTCAAACATACCCCGAGTATTAAAAAAAAAAGCTAAAATGTAAAACAATTGATCTAGAACTTTTGAACTTTGTGTGTGCAGCACATAAAGATTCACATTTTAAAACAGACCCATTTACTTTATTTATTCCAATGGAAAGCCCAGATTCAATACCATCTGGAACAGTATTTAAGACAGTTATTTATCGGCCTACTTTTATCAAAAAAGATCTACTGCACCAAATAGGCACAAATTTAAAGTATAGGGGGGGTGGGCCTTTCAGAAAGCAAATGAAAAAAATAATCTGGTAGATGATTCCAAATTCCTTTATATAGCTTTTTATATGAATGTATTATTGGCATAACTCCTCAGGTTCCTAGAATTATTCTGCAATACATGCAGAGTTCAGAAGTACAGTTTATCTGTGCTGCTAAATGTACAAGGGCCGTTTAGAGAAACAGGGAAGATAATCACCACTGGGACAACTTCAGTATAGAGGGAAAATGTGGTTCAAAAGGCTGTTACTGGATTTTCTAGCTGGCCTGAAGTCTGCATGCTATTTCTGTCTTGAGTAGGAAAATGACTTGCAGGGAAATAAGTTTCAGGACTGAATTCATATCTGAATTTACCAAGTAAAAAAGAAACAAGAAAATGCAGGTGGAAATGCAGAGAAAATCTGAGAATGTTCTGCAAAATGAGACAACAGGACAAATCAGGCAACAAACACAGGCCGTTTACAATGGACTTAAAGGACAACTGATGGTCTGTTGCCCTTCAAGCACAGGAAATACAGGTCTCAGAGACAGTCAAGGTAGGCAAGACACAAGCAGACAAGAGCAGCTACTATCTTATGTTGACATCAAATATATCTATGAGCATTCTGTCAAGACATTGGCCAACAGTGGTGTTCCTAAAGTAGTTCTTCTACTCCCTCCCCATTTTTAAATGGCAAAAAAAAATTACCATACTTTATCAAACTTGACATAGACGTACAGGAGAATCTATAGCTTTAAAGGTAGTGTGGATAACAGATATGGGATCAAGATCTTTCTTTCCCCCAAAAAAACCCCAGCCATAAGGATTCTCAAGATGCTAATATGCATTGCAGGATCTATTTACAATACATTACCAAAAACCTCACTGGCATAAAGTAAAGACTCTTTCAAAGACAGCACTACCAATTAAAGTCAAAGCAGATCCAATGTTTGAAGGATGGTTAGCTTTATTTTCTTGAAATAGTCCAAAGACTTACCTTAACAACATTATCTATATCAATTTTTCCATCCTTGTTTTCATCTAGTGCCTCTGCAATCCTAGTTAGCTTCTCCTCTGGAATCTTCTGAATTTGTTTCATTGCATTGATTAGTTCAGCAATACTGATGAGATTCCCCCTGAAGAGAAAGCAAAAACTGTACATGCCAAGCAGGTACTCCAAAGGAGTAAAGTTGACAAAAGGCAGTACTGAAAGTCACTACACTGCAGACATTTGTAAAAATATTATGTAATTATTTACAATTCTGAAAAGAATGCAAAAAGCAAAAATTAGTTCATGATCAACACACAGATTTTTATCTTACCATTGAATCCCATGCTTCTAGTTTCCATGTTTTATTTCACAAATACAAGTATCCAGAGCATTTGAAATAAAGTTAAGCACAGTTCTTGTGCTTCCCAGACTGTTTATCTATTGCCCTTTGGACCTCCACCCCCATTTACCAAAGATACAGTGCCATGCCTTTGTCATCCTTTTGGATTTAGAGGCTGACCTACACAAAATAATTGAAAGTCACAGAAAAACAAAAGCTGAGAATTAATCACTTGAGCAGTTTCTCATATCAAGGACCAGACTCTGCAGCAGAAAGGACTAACAGGTTTCAGATGCCTGCACTGTCTGCCCACTGATCTCATGAAGTTGTCTGTGCTACCTAAAGCCTCTGCTTGCCTGTGCATTTTGCTAGTTTGAAGAACCATCTTCCAGTACAGATCCAGCTGAAATTCAGGAGACAGTGAACCCAATAAATACTAAACAGAAGAGCTTTATCAGTGTAGTCCCAGCTCCTCTGGGCACAGATGGACTTTTATTCAAGGAGCATTTCTCCATCTGCCACCAAACATCCTGGACTGGTGTCATTTCCGTGACTCTCAATGGCTCGATAATGACTGCACCAACTTGAAGGCTGAAAGACAAGCCTTTGACAACTAAGCACTATTTAAACTAATAATTTTCAATCATCCACAATCACCTACAAAATTATTCAGAAAACCATCCACTACAAAGTATAATTACATTCAGTACAAGCAGATTCTGCATTGTATTGTAATTTACAAATTCAGATGGTTTTGATCAACCACTTCTCTGCAGCGCCATTCACATGGCTGCCCTAATGCTACTACACAAAATCTGAAACAAATGACCGTTTGCCCTGGGGACTGGAAAAACAAAGTTCAGAAGCAACAAAAGCAGTATCCTTGTTTCTGTTTAGTTATGCTCTTTGGGAGCTGGGATCCTCTCTCAATGAATCACACAAAATGGTGCAAGCATGAACTAGATTAATTCAGCATTCGTGACCACAAACCATGAGAATCTGTGTCACAGTTTCCAGGTAATGAAACTATCAGGAAGGTCCTTCCTTGGAAAATCAGAAGCGTGATAAAAAATTGAGATGAAGTGAATTTTTTTGGAAAGGGACTGTGTAAAATGATCTCCTCACTTCCATCAGACCCGTTCCCCCATTTCTCTCCAGAGAAACCACAGACTTCTTTGAAATCTTTTTCCTCACTAATATCTTTGCTAGTAATAAACAACAGACATGAACATGCTCACCACACCATTGTGCATCTTTTCAGCCAGTGACACAGGGCAAACCTACTGCGTGAGGAGCTTGACTAAAGGCACGATTTCATCTGTATCACCACTAGTGCCAGAGATGTGAACAAGATGGTAAGATAAGCTTTGACTTTCAGAACACCCTGATCTGGGGTATTGGACAACTTTTTTTGCTTCCTCATTTCAACCATATTTAACCTTGGAAGAGAGAAAACCTACAGCACAAATTTGTTAATTTTATTTATACAAAATCAATTACCTCAACATTTTAAACAGCAAGTTATTTATCAATTCTTTTCTAACCATACATCAGACAAAAGCAAGAGTGAAGCTGAACCACCAGAGACACATCCAGTGCTTCCAAGTCACTTACCCAGCAGGAACATCAGCACCATCCAGCTTTTCATCCACTGTCTTTTGACTTGTCTCTAATTCAACAATAATTTTGTCTATCTGACCAATCATTCGGTTGACTCTCTTTGTCAATCTCTTGCTCGCCTTTGACTCTTCTACTGCCTCTTCCTGGCCAGTTTTAGAGAGCTCTTTTATCTCTTGCAAATCCTAAAAGAAACAGTCAAGAGGGAGAAAAGCTTTTGCTGGTGTGAATTCACAACAACAGACTTCAACTAGCATTTCAAGACAGGAGCCATTTGTAAATGAAGCGCAAATGAAGAGACATATTAAGCCAGACTGGAAGTAAAACAATAAATCCTAACACTGCTTCCTATTTCATGCACCCCTTAAATGTTATTTTCCACATCTTTCATAAGACTGGGTAAGATTCATTTCACTTGACTTGAAGTTTCTGTAATACTGACATCTACCCTTGGTAAGAAAGAACTGCAGCAAGCAGCAGGCAGTCAGCTCATGTCAGCCTAGTCACCCTGGGAATAAGAGCAGGAACAGGATTCTCATCTGCTGGGAACTAGTCCAGCGACAACAACTAGGCTTTGAACATGTTATACAAATGAGGCTCTGCATTGTCCCATGCAAAGTTCATTCACTCAGCTACCAGCTTCAGGCTAACAGACAATCAACCAAGATAATCTTTGAATTTGTGGGTCATTTCTGCTAAAACTAAACATGCACAGAAAAAAGAACTTCCATGTCCCATTCTTCACCTCACTATACTCCTGGATATCACCCTTCAATTCCTCAAGCTCCTCCTTCTCCTTAGTTAGTGATTTTTTCTGTTCCTGCAGCTTGGTGCAAGCATCATTCAGCACATCAATCTCCTCCTTGGTGATTTCCTCGCCCTGTAACAGAAAACATACACAAATTAGTGAAAGTCACATCTGTGATTTTCCTCAAAGGTCTTTTACCAGAAAAGAGAGATTCAAGATTCTTTTCCCATGTTTGAAGTCAATACTCTCATAACCATTTTGAGGCTAATGCAAAGATTTTAAATGGTAAGGCAGTTAGTTTGCTAGGGTTCATATTTTATTGAAGTGCAATATTAGTAAATTCAGCTAATGTGACTGATTATGTGCATTGTGGTGATTAGAAATTCTGTAGCTAATCACCTCATTTAAGAATGTTTTACTTCGTTCTTTGCTAGCTTAAGGAATTTAAACAATGGAGAAACAATTCACTATGTAGAGGAAAGATAAAGTACACTAAAAAAAATTGTGAAGTTTGGGAAGTTGAGCTGTAGAAAAGTTATCTTCAGCAAATGTTGTGAGAATGAGGATGAACATCCATAGTTTGTGAAGTACACCTGTCTCTTGAAAAGCTGAGAATAAAAAACGAACCTTCATACTGAAAAAGACTTCAAGATGATTAATTAAAAATGTTAAAATCCCATAATACTACCTATATTTAGTGTATTAATCTTACCCAGACACCAGCTTTTATTTTGAATGGCTAAACTTTGAACAGAAACATAAGCACAGTACAGAAAGACATGGGCAAACAAGGATGTGTGGAACACAGAGCAGAAGAATGATGTGCTTTCAAGAACCAACTGTGGAACAGGCATCCAGTCCATCAACTCAGAAAGAGTTTCAGTGTAATGCTAATATCTGGGCATCAATCTCACTTCTGACTTTAATGCAATATCTGTAGTTCACAGTAGCAAAAAAGGTTTAAAAAAAAAAAACCGAAGCAACTTAGTTTAAAAACAAATTCCTTTCCCTCAAATAAAATGAGTCATCTTCAAGAGGCATTTTTCCTTTAAGAGGCAAGAATTCCACTGAGTTTAAAATCTTTGGAAGCATCTTTAGGGGACAGGCCACACTGTAACCTCAGTTAACTGAACTGTCACACTAACTTAACTTTCTGTTTTCTCTTATCAGTTTGGGCTGCTGAGGAAGTCCTTCTCGTGGCCTGGTGTCAACACATTCTCACGGCTTTGGTGCTGCAACAGGCAGTGATACAAATGCTATGACAGATGTGGCAACAAATATCCTTCCTGTTTCCAAATGAGATCATCCCAGCCTTGCCTGCCTCCCTCCCACAGCATTCCCCGTGGCTGCACTTCATGCACCCAGCTAAGCAGTCAGTGAGGCAGCCAACTCCCCACTCAACAACACTCATTTCCATGTGAATTAGTTCCATTTGGTTATTACCATTAAAACCTCCTTGGCAGCATTCTGAAGGAAATAATGTTACGGTAACAGCAGGTAGATAATGATGCTGTTGAGAAAAACTGAAAATACTTTTCTACTTAAAACACCCATTTTAAATTAATGTTGTTATTCTGCAAAGTAACACTGGGACTGAGAAAAATCCCAACGTCAAACCCCATGGACAAAAACAAGCTACAAATAAAACACGAAGTGCAACTGGAACATGAAAAGGAAGCCTACAAGAGTTGGAAGCAGGCACAGGTGATCCAGGAAGAATACAGAGACTGTCCCACCACACATGGATGGGTTCGGGAAAGCCAAAGCCTAATGGAGTTAAATTTGGTGAAGGATGTGAAAGGCAACAAGAAGGGCTTCTACAAGTATACTAGCAGCAAAAGGAAGTAAAGAGAAAATGTTTCTCTCACGTATTCTCACTCCTCTCTTCTCTGGCTGCAATTATATCTGCACAGTAACTTTTTTCCTTCTTAAATATGTTATCACAGAGGTGTTACCCCATCTCTGGTTGGCTTGGCCTTGGCCAGCAGCAGGTCCATTCTGGAGCCTGCTGGCATTGGCTCTGTCTGACTTGGGTGAAGCTTCTCACAGCTTCTCAGAGAAGCCACCCTTAAAGCCTTCCTCCCCTGCTACCAAAACCTGGCCATGCAAACCCAATACAGGCTGTCAATGCCTTCCTCATTCTTTACCGATAAGCGCCTTCAGGAATCCCAGGTCTTGGATATCAGTGTCAGGAGAAAGGAAGACCTACCATCTGGTTAGAGAACATTTAAACAAACTGAACACATTCAAGTCCATGAGACTTAATGGGATACAAGCAACAAAAAATAGGATACAGGCACAAGTGCTGAGGGAGCTGTTTGGTGTTACTGAGAGGCCACTGTCCATAATCTTTGGAAGGACATGGTGATCAAAGAAGACTCCTGAGGACTGGAGGAAAGCAGATGTCACTCCTATCTTCTTCAGTAAAGGAGAGAAGGAGACCAGCCAGGTAGCAAAGGAAAAAGAGCATTCACTGCCTGTAGCAAAGGATGCTCTGATTACAACAAAGCATTCTAAGTCTAGAAATTACCTATTACTTTAAAGGTGGCAAATTACGTTCTACGCTATACTGAAGAAATAAAGAGTACACTGAAATGTTTTTTAGCATATATACATTGTCCATTAGCAGTTTAGAAGTGGAAGTCAATACAAATCTAGTAGTCTAGTCCAAACCTAGTTCCTTACTTAATGCTCTGCTCCTAGCTACACCCTTCAAAAGAAGGGAAGAGTCATCTTGACCTACTCGCACCCTCTCCCTCCTCATGTGTAAACTATAAATGTGCACAGACCCATTACATCTACAACCAGTGGAAATGCCCCCCAAAATGGGTATATTAATTTCAACAATAAATTTAGATTAAGACAATATAGGAGATACTCAGAGATGTTTTGTGCTGACTTTAATTTCTGCACTGGCGGTTTAAGAATTTTCAGTCTACTAAGCCGTTGTTTTTAACTGACAGAACACGGTGAGAGAGTTAAAAGTGAAGGACAGACAAGCAACTTATCATGGTTCTTATGTGGATGCTTTGAGCCTTTGCATTCAAGTGTGAAAACACGTAGTTATCCAGATTACCTTGATGCCTTCCAACACAGGTGCTGTATCTATCAGTGTCTCCGAGTGCACAGCCACATCTGCCCTTGCCAGTTCTTTTTCAGTATCCACAGCCACCTGGACTTTTTTAGCTTGCAGAGCAGCTGCTTCGAGATCTACTGCTGGTTCCACCTCTTTCTAAATTTCAAACAGTCATTAAGTTTCAATTAACAAAAAAACCCAAACCCATTCTCTCTATTAGCATCAGTAAAGAGTGACTTCTCACAATAGAAACAGTTGCCAAAGTAGACACGCACATTTTTATGAGATGTTAAAAAACTGCAACATAGTGAGTGGGTTTCAAATTAACATACACCCACTTGCACCCAATGAACTACATTTTGTGAGCTCCTGAGGCTTAACTCACCAGTAAAGCAGGTCAGCAGCTTTTATAGTCAAGTATTATACAATAACATTTTCGAGTTAATGACACATAGAACCAAAGATAAGAACTTTTAAAGTATGGGATGCAGAATATAAAACAAAACCCAAACAAAACACAATCTTTGCTAGAGAAAAAGAAGTCTTCTCTTACTACTCTAATTAAGAAGAGAAATCACAGACATGTAAGATCAAGCCAACATTTCACAGTAAATCCTTCTGTGTAGCAGTGAGTTTTAATGTTCTCCCACATCTTCCATACGTGGATTTAAAGTCCATTTCTTGCAGGCAACACCTACAGCAGAGGCAGTAACTCATAAAATGTTAGTTTTTTTATCACTGACATTTACTTCTCAACAGTTGCAAGCAGAACTTACCACAGCTGCAACTTCAAGGGTTTCTTTGGCTTTCTCTGCAGCTTCAGACAATCTTTCCATCTCTTTTTCTTCATTTTCTTTTCTGATGGCTTCCTCTTCCTGAAGCGTTGCTTCCAGACGAACTTTGTTATCTATTTTTTCACCTTCAACTTCTGCCACTTTCACTTGGGCCTCTTTGGCCTAAAAATACAATAAGAGCCTAATAAAAGTGGGTGTATATATATATGTATATATATATATATATATATATGCATATGTATGTATGTCTGCATGATGTAAGAAGTTTAGATATTCCTTCTGAGGGAGGTAGTACAGGTATGCTCATGAATCAAGTTGAAACTCCCAAATGTTACCCAATTTTTGCATTTCTCAGGAAAAGATGACTCTCTTTTTTGAGAAAGTTTTCTGAAGAAAGTTTCTGTTTCTGGTGGAATCGTGAACTTTTCATCCTGAAATTGTACATGTTCTTCATTCTCTTTCTCTCAAGACTACGAATAATTTAATAATTTCTCTCTCTACGTATTTTCATGTACTAATGTCTTTATCTGGCCCAGAGCATTCATGGGTTTTTTGTGAGTAAAATGTGTATTCTAAACCTTTTTATGTTATTACTGTCTGCTGCCATGCAATCCACTACTGCCTTATGTTTGCTTTATTCTCATACCCCTCCGCACATAACACAATTTCTTCTGCATTTGAAGGTCACTCAAAACTATCCATGGTTTAGTTTTTCATGGGAAAGAAAGGAACCAAGAAGAACATCTACTTCTCTGAATGGATTTTCAGTGATGACACTGAAAGCTGGTTACATACTGTCAATACTTACAACACTATCTGGTAGTGTCTGAAGTGTTGTTTTGAGCTGATCAGCTGGAGAAAGGGTATCTGGAAGATACATGGCTCTGGATAAAATAAGCAATGAAGTCGGGATTTCCTGGTTCAGGTGCAGATCTAACCACTGTAAATGCAGAACAGGAAACAAATCTTCAACTTTGGGATTTTTGCTTTTTTACAGACAAAGTTAAGGCCACACAAAAAAAGTATATGAAATTTTTTTAACCACTACTTATCAGTCAGTATCCCAGAAGAGGAACTACAGGCTACAACCAGAATTACAGCAATTGCACTGAAATACAGGAAGAAGTATTTTGTTTGAACAACTATTTCAAGTAGCATTCAGTGAGTATTTGAAAAAGTGGTTTGTTTCAAATACATCTTAGAATCACAGAATGTTTTGGATTGGAAGAGACCTTAAAGATCATCCATCTAGTTCCATCCCCCTTGCCATGGGTAGGGGCACCTTCCACCTTTACTCAAAGCCCCATCCAACCTGGCCTTGAAACCTCCAGGGTTGGGGAGTTCACAACATCTCTGGGCAACTTGTTCCAGTGCCTCACTACTCTCACAGAAAAGAATTTCTTTCTAATACCTAATCTAAATCTGCCCTCCTTCAGCTTAATCAAAAGGACTTCTCAGAATGAGAACAAAAATCAGAGCTAGCAACTGCAACCAGGCCTGTGTGTTCAGCCCTGCAAAACCATACCTGTTTAAGCTGCTCCTTGAGACGCTGCTCCGTCACACCAAGAGCTCTCATCCCTCGGGCACGACAAGCTGCCTGCAGTTCTTTAACAGTCAGGGTATCAACTCCTTCTTCAGCAATCATCTGCACAGTGCAGAAAGTCAACTTCAGCACACAACAGCTCAAAACAGAGGCACCATCATCCCTGCACAGTCCATGTTTTACGATGGCCACTAGAGGCTGCTGCGGTAACACAGAACAGCCTCCACTGCTCAAATATCTCTGTAATGGCCATGGCAATCTCCAATACTTCTATCAGATCCTTTACAAATTACACTTTCAGAGAACCAGTTTTGTTTGTAATATAATTACTTCCATTTCGATTAATAGTAGATTAAAAAAAGGTCAGTTTTTTCTTTACAAAAAAGGGCACCCGATTTTAAGCTCTTCAAGCCTTTTCGTTCTAAGTTAGCTCAAAAAAACAAGACAATTACGACAAAAAAGAAAAATACCTAGAAAAACAAACATACATATTTCCACACATTCTCACTACTCTTATGTGCCAAAATTATCATCCAGTGCCTATCTGGAACGACTCACCTTGTCATCTGCTTTTATGCTTCTCAACCTCATAGTCAGCTGGAAGCGGAGAAAGTTATTTGTCCCAATTGACTGAAGTTCCAGCAATTTACAAAGTGCCACCAACTGAGGCCTGGTCAGATTGTCCAGTGTCAGCTCATCTTCAAACAGTTTAGAGAACCTTAAGATCTCCTCATTACTGGGTCTTTCACCAGTTTCCCTGATCTGTAAGAAAAAAAACAAACACACTCAAAGCTTTTCAAAGCAGATGTTAAGGTTGGGCTTTTTTTGAATAAAAATTTGTTTTGAATAAAACATCCTCCTCATTTGCCAAGCACTTTGCATCAGTTTTGGGATAGGAAGTAGCACACAAAGAAGGAATGACACAAATTTTTAAAAAACAACTTATATACTACAAAAGGCAAAAGGATTGATAGTGTCACAGTTTCCAACAACACTGCATAATACCTCAAAATATATGTATATACACATCTGAATGAATACAAAGTTGCTAGAGACATCACCCTGGCAAGTATTCTTTCTGATACCACACTTCCTAAACACACAAGCACATTAAAAGCATCACCCTGTGAAGATACAGTAAGAAGTACATCCAGTGGCAAAAATTTTGCAGTGCTGCTGTCCCTACGAAACATGGATTAGGACTCTTACCTACCTACTCCTCTCCACAAGCGTATTTGTTACAATATTGTTCGGTTTTTAGTTCCTAGCTGTTCTGCAACACCCCAGTGCAAATGTTCTTGTACTTGAAGTTATTCCAAAGTATAAACCACTGTTTGGGAAAGGACTCAGCATCCTTCGTACTGGAAGGTTCTATGTAACTACTCATACATATGCAAAGTTAAGCTTTTCAGTGATGTCTGGCCAAAGGGCACTTCACAGTCATTAAATCCAATTACTGGAAGCAGAGATAACAAAGTTCAAAGAAGCGGGAGAAAAATCATTCCCTAGTCTCATCAGGTCATAGTAAAGCATTATCACCTGTATAGACGTTGATTTTTCTATTTAAAAGATACCATCAAAAGCTTATTAGTGACATCATAGCATCAAAAATCTACAGTCTGAAAACCTAACATTACCTATACAGACTGATGTATCATGCCTAACTTTTTTACTTGCAAACTCAAATATTTTAGTAAACAGCTACCGAGAGCACAGGAGAAGGTAAAAATTTGGAAGACATGATGGCCTTGAGTCCATTAATCCCCAAGATACTCATGCAGCAGAGAAACCAACTCAGAGAAAGGCAGGTCAAAGGCCCTGTTCCACTTCACTGATGCCTTCACTACAAGAGCCAAAAATGGCACTTTAAAAATACAAGAAGTATTTCTTCCTTGTTTAAAGAGGCAACCATGTGTTTCTTGAGAGTACAAACTGAAGCTTTCTAGTGCATCACTAGCTACAAAGCAACACAGAGAAATTCTGGAATTCTGCAACAAACATGCTAAGCTATAATCAGTGGTTCTTGCAGTATCAAATACTTCAACACAGAAGAAGTTGTAAAAGAACAGCAAAAAGGTGGGAAGCATTTAAGCTTCATCTTGCTCTGACATTTACTATCTGGTACAGTGAAATGAGATCAATGAATTTTGTCTCTGTGGCACAAATGAGAAATATAATGCTGTAAAAAGCACACCCACACACAAGAAACGCGGGGCTTGAAACTTCTTTTTTAGTCATCAGAGGAACTCGGGACTTCCTCCAGCAAACGTGGAGTGAAACATTATTTATTTCCACAGAAATTAACGGCCAAACACAAATTCTCAGCAGCAGTTCTTTCAGAAGAAAACGAAATGTTCCAAACATGAAGCGCAGCAGTGGCACGTTCCCAGGGTCTGCAGGGTCAGTGTTTCAGCCACTAACTGCTGTAACTAACGATTTACACTGTTCTGCAGATTAAAAATAACAGAAACAGGTAATTGTGTAGAAGCTTCAAAGTACATGGACTTTGCAAGCAGCTTCTGACTGGTGAAATTTGCCACTACCATTATGTGAGGTAACCCACGTGGCACCATCAACATCACCTTATTACCCCACACTCTAAAACTTCACTCTTACCTCTGACAAGCAGGGCAACTTTAAGCTGACAGAACTTGTAAAGTTCAGGTCTGAAATCCCCAGGCTTATGTGCTTTTTTCTGTGCAAATACACGCTCTCCCCAGAGGAGGGGACCACAGCCTTACTTTCAACAAATGTTGTTGGCTCCATCTCTTATTCAACAGCCTCACAATTAAAGAGAAATTGAAAGTGTGAGTGGACCGAGATAAATCCTATCTTGGGAATATTTAGGATTTAAAAGAAGGTATTTTTCTTATCCCCAGGGAATTCTTTATCCTTACCTACAGTTTGCTGAAAGGAACCACTGACAGACCTAAAGGCCATCAGTACAGGAGGTAGATGTCTGACACTCAGTCTCTCTGTCAGCAACTGATCATGAATGGAAAAATTTTGCACCAAACACAGAAACCACATTCCAGCTAAACCCCAGATTACACAACGTTCCTGTCAGTGACCAAAAGGATTTCAGCAGCATGGCAACCCTGCATTTAAAAACTGTTTCTATAAGCAGAATTCGATTTGACCAAAAAAAATTTAATTTCTCCCTCACGACGTTTTAATTACAAAAGAACTCCCTTCTCCCAGTTTTCTTACCCAAGGTTAAAAAAAAGGTCAAAAACTACACAAGTAACCACTGAGCACACAATGTTTCATGTTAGAATTAACTCGTTAATAAAACAAGACAACAAGAAGCAAATGAGCAGAAATACACTGCTAATAGAATAAAAGCACCAGCTAGAACACCAAAGAAGTTCATTACACTGAAGTATTACTTCCAAAAAAGAAATTTATCCTAAAAGAGCTTCTACATCTTGCTTCTTCAAGTCCAACAGGATAAAGGTATCTGATGATTACCACAGACTAAATAAAACACCAAGCCATTTTCTGTAGCAAGAGTAAACAC